TTTTTATTTTCCAATGTAGGACATTTGGTCATTATCAAGTAGTCATTATTCAACTAAATGTCCATCATTGTTAGACATTACTCTTTCCACTAGGTCATTATTAAGTCTTATTTAGGAAATAAAAAAGTTTAAGTCCTACATTAGAAAAGTCATTATGTTTTTAGTCCTATTTAGTGCAAATTTCACTATAGCTTATCCCTTTCCACCAAAAAGAAAACCAATGAATAATTGTAAGCAAAAAAGAAAAGAAAGCAATAAATAACGAATGAGGTTGGAGGGGACTTGTGATCCCTTGCTTTGCTTTCTACGGTACATATTGGGTTGAATCTTGTAAACCAAGTAAATTTATTTTGAATTAAATTAAGTAATCTTTTTAATTTTAAATTAAATGAGTCAATCTTTTTAAATTAAATAGTCTTGTAAACAAGTAACAAAGTAAACAAGCTCATATATCCAACAAAGACAATATTTCTATTTTTAATCTTTTCTAAAGTAAATATTATTAATGGGATGCAAAATATTAAACTCAACAGGTTGTACAAAATTTGTCATCCTTACAAAAAAATAATATTAAGTCTCTATTGTTTATAGGAGTAATCAACCCATAACGTTCTAGGGCCTGCGTTTAACTAATTAAAAATGAACTCCTTATTTTTTTAGGACGATGGGTCGTCCAATATAATGGGCCCGACTGGTGTAGCCATCTAGGCCCACCTTGAGACACGTTTCCTCTCTCGGTTGGGTCAAATGACGATAGTCCTCCATTGCCCGTTAGTATGAGGCGGCTAGATTATCTCGTCCTCTGTGATCGAGTAGTACGACTAGTCTGAGTAGATTATTATTATATCGTTAGACATAATTTGAGATTCACCAAGTATGGATCGAGACCAACACTATCTTAAATTTAAAGTTTTTTTGAATATCTATTCTTCCTACGTCTAAATTTAAAGTTTTTGAATATCTATTCCTTATCTTAAAATAAAACTCTCGCTATTTTTAAGAATTAACAATGCAAATGATTTTGTTTTCCCCAAAAAAATTAATGGCACAAGTTTAGTTTGATTGGAGTAATATATCCTCCTATAAATTAAGATAGCCATCTTTGGTTGTCTATTTGATAGCCATCTTTGATTGTCCACATGGTATACATCTCATCTACCCTATCCCTAATTAAAAATAACAATCAATAAAAATGAGCAATAATTAATGGCAATAATACTAATGCTAATTGGGTAACAGTAGAAGAAACCAAATCCCTTTCTCTAAGCAAAGGGGGACAGTTTGTCTTCCATTCATTTCATTTTTTTTAGTGTTCCATTCACCTAAAGAATATTGACAATGCATTGTTCCCAAATCTCTAAGATATTAATTAAATAAACAAAAAAAAGACTCTTCTTCCCAAAACAAAAGTCACAATTGTAATTCACATCACCAAATTATTTCTTTTTCTTGTATATATTTTCATTGATAATTTGACTAAACAATTTAGGCATCAAATACAAATTATGTATAATTCATTTTTTTTCTTTACACTAAATTTAACATAAATTGAATTAAAAATAAATTTACTCAGTAATCGTATCTTGATCTGTACCTTTAATTTTGGTATGAAGATAGTACATTAGAAATAAATAAATAAATAAATAAATGACTTTTTTGTATAAATTCAAAGAAAAGAAGTGGGGGCCACCTACAGTACTAAACAATCCCAGCGGCACCGGTAACGGCAAAGACCCTCTGCCCACCCACCACTATCATCACCCATTTCCAATTTCCCCACCTCTCACATTTATTCTTCCCATAATGTTTTTTTTGAGGGAATAATCAGTTTTTCTTTTTCTTCGAAATAAAAGAATCATTCAAACAGTGGTTAAGAATTAAGATGGAATGGATTAACTCCCCCGTACCGTAAATTTTAAATTATTAAACGGAGTAATTACTGTGCAACATTCAATTATTAATTACCCGAATTCACCATAAATATTTATTTATTATTATAAATTTTGAAAAACCACGGAGTATATAAACTCAAAGTAATTTGAAATTATATTTCAAAATAAATTTGTTTTTTTTTGTGAAGCAATTTGGATTTAAATCTAGTAGCATTGTAGTCAAGAATTATAAATATTGACTGTAAAAGTTCAAATATGAAGGCCTCGTTTTCATCAACGTTAGAGATTAGCATTAACGTTTTGAAAAAGTTATCTGACGGTAGTCTTTAGCGTTAGAATTTTCAGAACTAATCCACACTAATAAAATTTTATCTAAAATGCTAGCGCTAATCGAAAACGTTATTCCAAACAAGGCCAAAGCTTATTACGATATTTAAATTAAACTTAAAGAAATGATAATAAGGATTAAACTTTAACATATATAAAATTCTTTATGCGTCTAAAAATTATTGTGATGATGAGAAAAGAGAATAGGTCAACTTCAATACACCCATGAATTATAATAATGTTTAAGAATAACTAGCAACCTAATTACTTTATTCTAGTAAATTTTGGCAACGAGACATCATCTTGAACGTCACATTCTAGTCATATTTTTAAAACTTTAAGGTCATATTATCAAAATTGTGACTTATTTAAGAATCTAACTAATTCGTATGTTTAATTACAAGGTAAAGGTTCTAAGTTTCTAACATTGTTCTAACATACATAGTATTGTGTTTGTGGTTCTTAGGGGTGAGCATGGTACGGTATGGTATGATATTTAGCTCGTACCGATACCGTACCAAGTATTTCGGTTCGGTATGGGATTTTACCCCGTACTGATCCCGATCCCGAAATATCGGTTCGGTATGGTTCGTGATAGTTCGGTATCGGTTTCGGTACAAATCGGGATGAATATACATACCTACTTTAATTTACACGTTAAAATTTAACAATGCCCCTTTATTTTTGAAAATTAAAAAGTGAATTTAAAAAAACATGAAAATTAAAAAAAAGAATATTTAAATGCAAGAGATGTGTATCAAAACTTAGTTTATATTTCACAAACTATAAAAATGAATGACAATAAAGGAGTATTTCAAATCTTTGTGAATACTTTTATGTTCATACACAAAAACTTACTTGAACCAATTTTTTTTTTTAAAAAAATTACCCGGAGTATTTTTTAGTGAAGGAATATAAAAATATTACTCCGGGATATTATTTTTTATAATATTTTAGTATATATGCTCGGTTCGGGATTTTCGGTATGGGACGTCCCCTCGTACCGTTCCCAAATACCGTACCGACCATTCGGTTCGGTTTGGTTCGGTTCCTTCTCGGTATTTTTTCGGTTCGGTATTTTTCGGTTCGGTATTCTCGGTTTTTTCGGGAAATTTCGGTATCGGTTCGGTACTTGCTCACCCATAGTGGTTCTCTTGCTTCTCTATATTAGAAAATTACTCCATTAAATTTGAGAATTACTTTATGATTAGTCCTTTGAATTGGGATATGTTTTTCCATGTGTACAAGTAACTGATTATGAAATAATTTTTAAATATAGATGACCACAAATAAAATATCATAGAATTAAGAACTATAATGAAAACATTCAATAGTTTAAAAGACTATTTATAGGATTTCATCTATGAGAAAACAACTCTAGAAATTACAAGTCTTGTCTAACCCCATCAAAGTGTCGTTATGATTTAAAAAAGGATATGATCGAGTCATCGAGAACTAGCCAAGATAGTGATTTGAAAATATGTAGAATGGATTTTAGTTTCAAATTGATCAAAGAAATAAATGGTCTCTGATATGCACAAAAATTCTTTTATTTTTGTACCCTTATTGAAGGCAAAGTATCATTATGAATGATTAAATTGATTTGGGAATATGAAGTAAATTGTTTAAACAATTAAAAAAAAGAGAAAATAAAATTGGGAGTATAAATTACTGTACTATACTAGTAGTAGAATAGACGAAATCGATACTGCATTCTTTACTGGATCCTTGAAATCTGTGAAGAAATAATACATGCTGTAAAAAACATAGAAATTCTTTTGCAAGTTTTTTTTCCAGAGTCCAAACGTGATCATTACACCTCCCTCGCCAGCACAGTGCATTAGGAAATTTCTGGACTTGACGACGGGATCTCAGCGAAAGTGGCGATTCTCTCTTTCCTTTTATTTTTTTCCTTTTTTATTTGCTCCGTATTTAAAAAATCAAAAACAAAAAAAAAAGAAGTTTACATTTATTTTTTTATGGACTTTAAGAAAAAAGAAATGAAATTATACGAGTATGATACAAGTATATACAGAGAATGAAAGAAATAATGTGAAACTAGAATCATTTAAACCAAATACTGAAATTCATAAAAATAATACTCCCTCCTATTCTAAAAAAAATAACTCTTTTGATTTTGATTTTTTTTAGACAAACAGTGATACTTTTTCACCATAAATTCTGTGAAAAGTATTTTGAATTATAATATAGAGTTACATGGTCCCATGATCCACATTTATAATGTGAATCTTCTCATATTTTTCATAAGTTTGCTTGTATTTTTTTTAATTTTTTTGCATAAGGGTCACATCTTTTATACAACAAATACACTAAAATCCTTAAAATTAATATGGACATTAGGTCTATTGAAAAATTTGCTTATAAAATATAAATTCCATATAATTAGATTTATCTTTAGAATATATATTTTTGATATATCAAATTTTATGACATTTATTTATTTAAATTTTGTTTAATTTATTACGAAGGAGTATAATCGGAAGATTTTATAGAACTGGAATAGTTCTTTTTTTTATTAAAATAAACCGGGCCCACGTAGCGAAAAAAAGGAGAGACGGACCAACTCTACTGACGGGGTGAAATATCCGTAGAACTCCAAATCAGAATTCAGTCTATTCCGGAAAATATTGCCTTCCAAGAGAATTCTTATACTCCGGTTTAATTTAAACAAACAAAAAATAACACCTTCAATTTCAAACAAAAAAAATCCTCCGTATAAAATTACGTGATTTATTCGATTTAAATGAGAATAAAAAAGCGATAAATACAAAAGCGGTGGAAAGTTGAAGAGTTGATAAGAAACTGGAGACTCAATACCCCCCATACTCTTTCTGTCCAAAGAAACCGACGAAGAAGAAGAGCAAGAAACGAACCTCCTTCCTTTTCTTTATAATAACGCTTCCTCTTTTTTTCATTCCCTGGAGGAATCCATTATTACTACCACTACTGTTGTTGTTAAGCTCTGAAGCTGGGCCAAAAATGGCGGCCTAATCTTCTTCTTCTTGTGATTAAACATTCATTCACTTTCCATTTCCTTCTCCATTAACTCACCAAGAATCAATCAAAAACGTGATTGGCCCCCCCAATTCTCTCTTTCTTGTTCATGCTGTTATTGTGTAAGCTTTAATTGCCCTCCCCCCTACCCCTACCCCTCCTTCCCTGCTATATAATTTCTCCACCATATCTGGCTGTAGAGGAGATTAATTCTCATATAGCTATGGCTGTTCAAGCTCAATACCCTTCCAATAATGTCTTCTTCTTCAACACCAACACCAACAACAACAACAGGTTTGTCTTTTCGTCTTTCTCGCCTTCGAAATGGTTTCTCAGGTTTGTTTGTTGAATCTATCTCTGTCTATGTAATCAGGGGTTTGCAGGATGGGAAGAACAATGAATGTTCTTTGGTTGATCAGGACTCTATCAGATTGGTTCCTACAGGTTAGAAGTTAGAACTAACTGTTTCTCTCATATTCCTCTTCTCCTTCTTCTTCCCCATGGATTCAGAAAATATTGATGTGCTCTGGTTGTGTCTAGATGGTGTGGGGAATTCGAGGAAGAGGGCTAGAGAAAACGAGATCAACGTCATTGCCGCCATGAATAGACCGCTGCAGCCTCCGTCGCCGGCGGTTGTCGATCTCGGCCGGCGGCAGACGTCGCCTCCACGGCCTCACGTCGTGTCCACAGGCCTGCGTCTGGCGTTCGGAGATCAACAATCGCAGCATCGGATTCAACAGAACTCCGTTTCTCCTCCCTTCTCCCAATCGTCTCTTCTGTTTTCGACATTGGCGGATGATTTGAACGCTCATCTCAAACAGCAGTCCGATGAAATCGATCGATTTCTCATCGCTCAGGTGAAAATCTTCAAATAGTTTTTTCAGGAATTTCTGGAATTTGTGTTTGGTTGTTTGTTAAAATCTTAAATCATTTTCTGGTTTGATTTGTATGTATAGGGGGAGATATTAAGGCGGACGTTGGAGGAGAATAGGAAGAGGCAGTACCGTGCTTTGATCGGAGCGGCGGAGGAGGCGATCTCCCTGCGGCTGAAGGAGAAACAGGTTGAGATGGAGAAGGCGGCGAGGCGTAACTCGGAGCTACACGCCCGGATGGCTCAGTTGAGCGCCGAGTCACAAGCCTGGCAGGCGAGAGCCAGGTCGCAGGAGGCGACGGCGGCGGCGATTCAGGCGCAGATGCAGCAGGTGATGGCGAGTGCTAACCGCCGCGGAGGAGACGGCAACGCTGCGACGGTGGTCTGTGCGGGCGGAGACACCGAGGATGCCGAGTCTGCGTACATTGACCCGGATAGGATCGCCGCCGCCTCGGTCGGACCGAGTTGCCGGGCGTGTCACCACCGAGTCGCTTCCGCGGTGGTGCTGCCGTGCCGTCATCTCTGCCTCTGTGCGGCGTGCGATGCGGCGGCTCAGGCGTGTCCTGTTTGCCTCTCCGTTAAAAGCTCCAGCGTGGAAGTGTTTTTCTGCTAGAGAAGGCCCATTTTTAGGCCTCGGTCTATCGCGAACCAGCCCACTAACAAGGAAAAGGCCCAAACTTGCTATTTTAAAAGAGCAGAGTAAAATATGCAAAAAAAAGGAAGGAAAAATGGATATATATTGAATATAAATAATAAACAAACATAATTTTTGTTTGTTTGATATATTATTATTATTATTTTATTTTCCCTGCTAATGAACTAAAAAAATGGTTTTGTTTTTAGGGCCAACCCACCATGTTGGTGATGTACATTGTGTCGTGGATCTTGACATTTTTGAGTTTTTTTTTTAATTTTCATAAATTCATTTATTTATTTTAAATGTATATTTGTTTTTTCTTTTACCAGAACACAAACTCTGTGTATCGCCATCGTAATATATGCAGCATGTCATTTACATTTCTTTTTGTTACAAGGTGTGAATTTGGAGATTGAGTGTAGGGGTAAGGTCCAATGGTTGTCGGGGATAAAGGCCCAACATACATTGGGTCGGCCCAAATAGTCCTTGTCCCGATGGCGACGCGTTCCGAGTTGATATTGGATCGGGTAGACAGACGTCCCGACTGCTTGTCGGAACATACTTGGGCGCAACAAGGCTTGCCTGGAGCAAGAAAAAGTACGAGGCAAGAATCATCTTGAGTGGAACCAATCACCTCTGTCCAACCATCTATCATGACTTTCGTGCCACACATTAAATGCGGAGGCGAAATCTGACACGCATGCTCCCGGCGGCAAGCATGCTAGAGTGTGGGTAATTGTATAACTATCTTATGTTTTTCGCTAATTTTTCACAAGATCTCTCCCCTGTATATAAGCACTAGAGGAAAAATGAGAGAAGATCGCATTCTAAAGGCAGAAAGTAACAATATTCGATCAAACTAGTACCACCTATACTCGGGCCAAGGCAATTGAGTCACCCTCGTATCTTTCACACACTTAAGTCAAGACCAAAATATACAACGTCGCTTAAGATGCTTTTAAAAAAACCGACATTCTTTAAAATTTTCACTTATATTATTCGGGTCAACAATAAGTGTAAAAAAGGTTGACATTATATAAATTTACATTTCTATTAATCGTGTCCTGAGAAGATAGTCACACCATTGTTTTGTTCAACAACATGAGCAATAATTGAAGATGCAAATTAATAAATAAATATTCATTCAAATTAAGAAATACCAAATAGAATGATAAACTTAAAAAAATAAATATTCATTCAAAATTTAATTTTGTATGAATTAACAATACAGTGAGATTCTAGTGACACCCACGTTTGGTGACACCAGCGGTGCCATTGTCATTTTGGGGCACTTCTAGTGCTTCGTTCGTAAAATTGACGGTTTCTACCCATCCAAATCCACTCTTTAACTCCCCACCCCACCCCTGCCCATGCACCTCTACCCCAACCCCGCCGTAAGCACCCCACAAAATGTGTGGCTATTATGCAATGCATAATAGTCACACATTTTGTGGAGGGCTTACGTCAGGGTTGGGGTGGAGGTGCAGGGGCGGGGGTGGGGTGAGGAGTTAAAGAGTGGATTTGGGTGGGTAAGAACCGTCAATTTTACGAACATAGCACCGAAAGTGTCTCGAAATGACAGTGGCTCTGGAGTGTTACCCTACTTCGGTGTCACTAGAAACTCGCCGTTAATAATATATCGACAAAGACCTTCTACTCCAAAAACATAGAGTGACTTTTGGTTCATACCCCAATTCATAACCAAATGTTAATACATTTTCTTTTTATTGTTATTCACACACACCCAATTATTTATTTCTAGAAAATCAATATACGCGTTGAACGATTTTAGTCTTTTTTTTTAAGGTCCTAAATCTTGGCCATCTTTGATTTCTTTTATAATAAAAAAAAAGCAAAGCATCACCTTTGAATAGTAACAATAGTGTGTGTAATTCAAACATTTGACAAAATGGAGTAAATATCAAAGTAGACGCAGATTTCAACTGGTTCTTGTCGTCAATTCGGTTTCGCAAATATGATTGGAATATTTTTGTGACTTGTGACCACATGTGTTTGATCGAATAATTCATGTATGTATACAAATACTTTCTCTAGATGATGGACTCTTACTTCAAAACTACCAAAAAAAAAAGTTTTATATGTATTTCAACCAAGAAAATAGAATCCAATCTTTTAGAATTTAGATGAAGATATATCATTGGTAAGGTTTCGTTGACACTTGATTATAGTTTCAACCGTTGATGCCGGATTACACTGTCAACTGATGACACTCACCTATTTCGAGCACCTCTGACACTTGCCTATTTTGGTGCTCCAAATGAAAAAAGTAATAGTTTCTACTCCTAACATAGCCCCTAGTCCTCCCACCGCACCCCACCTTGGTCCCACCCCCGCACCCTACCCTGAACCTCCCTTTTTACTTCTTCCAAGTGCGTGGCTATTATGCATTGCATAATATTCACACATTTGGAGGGATCTAGGGTGGGGTCTAGTGAGGGGTTTGGGAGATAAGAACATCAATTTTGAGAACAGAGCACCGAAGTGTTTGAAATAAGTGAGTCTTATCTGTTGACACTGGATACCAATGTCAACAGAATCTTATTGATATATCTAATATATCTAACCTTGCTGATATATCCTATATGTAGATAAGGCATAGCTCAGCAACAAATAAAGACCTAACAACTCTCGAATAGGTCCCAAAATTGATTTTATATTTATTCACTACAATTTATGTGAGTACTTTCATCCTAAAATATTTGTCGCATTATGTAAAATGAAACAAAATTTCAAAATTTTTCAATCTATTTTATTTAAAAATTAATATAGAAATAAAAAATATAATTTTCATACTAAAAACTAAATGAAAATTAAATTCTTAAAAATAAGAATTGACAAGAATATAAGTATCATGATTTTTAAATAGTGAGTTGTGACATTCTTTTTTAGGCGGAGAAATATTTTTTCATTATTTATTTTTTTTCGTGCGAAAATATATAATATTATCAATCCCAAAATTAGGCGTGAATGAATGCGTAGTTGAGGTGAATAATGACAATTAGACGCCCACTAATGACGAAGTAGTTGGTTCCACAACACAATAATCAAATAATATATCTTGTGAAAATTCTAATCCCAACGCCACCATATGATAAAGTGACAAAACAAAAATGTCAGCTGTGTAAACAAGGAGACATCTTTTTTCTGCCGACCAACCCCTTGATTTGGTGCATTGATTTTAATGCCTTTCAAATTTATCTTAGATAACAAAAAAACTTGTTTAAGAAGAATTTCAATATTTAGTTTTAATATTTCAAAAAGACTATCTAACGATAGTATTTAGAGCATCGGCAATTGTGAGCAAAAAAAGTGGCTCACATTGTCACCGCAGTTCACCCCAAAATCATGATATGGCAAAGGCGTTCCACCCTGCCTCGTGATCCTATGTCGAGGCAATCCGCTTCCATTTTCTTTCTTTGTTTTGTACAAGAAATAAGGTTTTTGTTACGAGAGACATATGCTGAAAAGTAGTGTAATTCAATGCCTAATTTGATGTTATTCATGTTATAGAAAAGATGTGTTTGAGATTCGGTTAGATACTTTTCTAGTATGACAGAATTCTTGTTACAGTATAACAATAAATACGGTGGGAATAAATGTTTGCTTATATGTTTTACCCTCATCTTATATAAAGAGAGTTGAACCTTTGTAATCTCAAAGATAATTAGGACCATAGCCAAGATCGTCTGCATTCAAATGTCATCGGCATAAGCTTACTAAGCCAAATGAGAGGCACATGACGTTAGGATGTCCGAGAGTGAACAATTAAGAAGAAATTGTAATTTTAATACAGATAGCTTATTTGGTAAAACACTTAACTAGGATGAACCATTTTAAAGATTTATAATAAGTTTAGCTGAAAGAAAATACAAAAAGCTTATGCTTAAAGCCATTTATAATACGGATGGCTTATTTGGTAAAAGTATTTTTAAAAGTACGATCACAAATTTTATGAAAAAAGTTGGTCCTATGATGATTTCAACCATTGCTATGGAAAAAGGATGTAGCTTAAGAATAACTTCCTAATAGGTTACCGCATACGGAGTATAACTTAGGCTATGTTTTCTTTACTTGATCTGATTGGTTCTGGTCCGGTCTGCTTTGATCTGATTTCATTGAGAATAAGTAATAAGTAAAAAAATATATTGAAGAGAACATGGCCTAAATAGAGAGTCATCAGATATGCTTGTTTGTTACAATGATTAGTTGTTAGCTAAATATTTACAAGAAGACCTGATGATTGCACCACATCTATACTTCTTGGAGATTGCAGTTGAGTAAAATGAATTATGTACCTTAGTCAATTAGTACAAAAATTTAAAATTCAATTTTCATTACAGTTCTTCCACCATTGGTACTGTAGATTGGCTTTGCTTGCTATGCGTGCATCAATTATCCCGTGACAGAAGATATGTGAACCAAGTCACACTCAAATATCGTGGCACTTGTGTATGTTGAATGCATTGTAAGGCTACCGTATATGTTTCTTCTAACAGCAATTGGTTTTAACTTAAAAGAGTTGGTAGCGTCTGATATTCTAGTTCTTCTTCTACAAGTTCCATTGAAGCTGTTTGAGGTTCGAGTTCGATCATGTCTTTGTTGAATGCACTATAAAGTTAGAATATGATTTTTTTTCTAACACCGATTAAATTTAATGGAGTTGGTAAAGCGAATTCCTATAAGCTAACTTATGGTTAATAATACTAGACCAAGAAATAAGGCTATGTGTTCTTCAACTTATTCTTCTTCTTATTATTATTATTACATTTTTTCATTTAAATCAGTTTAGTTCAAATTAGAAATAACTTTAAATAAAACTATACTTATATCAAATAGACCAGATGAAATCAGATCAGATCATAGTTTATTCCAATTAGATTAGATACATTCAAATTAGATGAATCAGATCATAAATAACTTTAAATATAACTACATTCAGATTAGGTTAAACCAGATTAGATTTGATCTAATTAGAACTTATTCTAATCATATTAGAATTTTTCAAATTCCCCAATCTTTTTACAAGTTTCAACTATATTTCTTCCACCTTGGAACGGTAACCACCATGTCTAATCCTTTATGTCTCATAACTTAATCTCTTTCACAAGCACGTAGATACAATAATTATTAGTAATGAGAAAAGTGCACGGGCTACCCCAGAGGCCCAAATTATTTGAAAATTGTACAGTTTACCATTGAACATTAAAAAAACGCACTAAATATTCATGAATTTTTCAAAAATTGTAAGATTTACTCCTAAACATGAAAAAGTGAATCAAATACCTATGAACTCTTGAACATTTAAATAAAGACGATAATTTTGGTAAAGGATACCTATAGACAATTCACAAGAGCGAGATGAAATCTTACCGCAATTCCCGTGTGTTGGAGCAACACGTTCCCTATCTACCATTTTAGGACCAACGACACAATGTTTTAAATTATTCGGAAGTATTTGGCGTACTTTTTAATGTTCAGGCGTAAATAATATACAGTAATTTTCAAAGAGTTCAATGGTAAACGGTACACTTTTTAATATTTATGAATAAATTATGTAATTTGTAAAGAGTTCGGGAGCTTGCACTCTAATCAATTAATAATCATCTTTCAACTTTATGTTTTTGAAATCCAAACTAAACTTCCCAATTGATGTATATATTCGGCGGTTAGTGGCGGAAGGAGAAGGAGGAGTGATCGAGAGATATAGTAGCTTGCGGAGATGCTGAAAGATCAAGTGGCGTATTTGTTGCAGCGGTATTTGGGCAACTATGTCTCAGGACTCAACAGAGAAGCTCTGAAGATTAGTGTCTGGCAAGGTACTCGTGCTTTTATCAATTGCTTCTCTGTATTTCTTGGTTGTTATTGTTCGATTTGCCAGTTGAAAATATCTTTTTATTCGATTTGCATTTTAACACTTCCTTTGTTAATACTGTAATCTGTGGGAAAATATCTTTTTTCCCAATGCGTATGCTATTGATTCTGGTATTTTTTGTTCAGTTGATAGATGCATTGTTCTTAACATTCAACAGGTGATGTAGAACTTAACAACATGCAATTGAAACCAGAGGCATTCAATGCATGGAAGTTGCCTGTGAAAATTACGGCCGGATTCCTTGGATCAGTTAAACTTAAGGTTTGTAAACTCAGAAATAACATATACTTCTTCCGTCCCGTAAAGATGTTCTCGTTTTGACTCTTAGGCCCCGTTTGGTACACGAAATTCAAACTATGGAATTGGAATTGAGGACTTCAATTCCAATTCTGGTGTTTGGTAGCACAAAAACTGTGTAAATTTGGAATTGGCAGTGCAAAAAATGAATTGGAATTAATGAATTCAATTCCATGGAATTGAATCCCATGGAATTTCAATTCCAATTCCATCAATTCCGTATACCAAACGGACCCTTAGAAAATTTAAGGGAGAGATAATTTTGTGTAAAAGTAGGACGTGAGTGGTTGATTATTAGTGAAAAGGTATGATGTGATAGGTATGTCAAAATTTGGTAGGGGTAAAAGTGGTTTTTTAATAGAAAAGTGAAGGATTTTGTGGGACAAGAAAAAAAGGAAGGAGAAGGAGTTTTTGGGACGGGTAGAGTAGCTCATCTGATCATTTAGGACCTGACTCTTGATATTGAAACACCACGATATTTACTGCCAAGTGTTAATGTGTTATGTCTACATTAAAGCCATATTTGTCTAGCGTATTTCCATTTGAAAATATGGTTCTTATGCGGTGCAAATAACTTTCTTTTCTATATTTTTTGGATTAACTGACATATATGAGATTAATAAGCATGTGTTTTTATGTATGTGTGGCTATGAGGTAGACATGGCTTGATGTCCTTAAATCCTCACGGCCTTTGCTTTTTTTGTTTGGAATATGTTACTTTTTGACCTGTAGGTCCCGTGGAGCAGGCTTGGCCAAGATCCTGTCGTAGTTCACCTTGATCACATTTTTTTATTAGCTGAGCCAGCAACCCAGGTTGAAGGATCCAGTGCGGGTGCTGTCCAAGAAGCTAAGAAGAACCGGGTACAAGTGAGACCTTGCTTTTTGAGTTTAAGTTTTGAGGGGTTTTCTTAGATGATTAATCAAATTTGCATATTTTGGACTAGGAAATGGAAACAAGGCCGGTCGAGAGTAGACTAATGCTGAAGACCGAAATGGTGTGCTCTCTTTGAAACTGTGTTCATTTCATGTACTCCATATTTTAGTAAATGCAGATCTATGACTGTAATGTGAACTAGTAATATAAGTTTATACTATCCAAAAGAGCTTAGGGTCGGTTTGGTTCATTTAGGAATGGGTATTACCCAATACCTTGTGTATGGTCACAAAAATCACCCACAAACCCATTGCTCAATCTTCCTCTAATATTTTCCCTCATTGTTGCTTCTTATGTCATTACACGACAAACCTTGGGATGATGGAAGACCAAATTGGCAACGTAAGGAGACTACGACATGTCACACGTGGAACTTAAGCCCAAAGTGACCACGCTTCCATCTTTGAAGGAGAACCAAACCCTAATTTTATCCCCCAATACAAACCAAAAACTCAATTTCAATCTATATCTCGACCCATACCTTCCAACCACAATTCTGATTTCAACCAGATACCTGAACTTCGGCCAAACTGGCTTATCCTTAAAACATTAACTTTTTTATTTGGGAAGAATGTGATCTTGATTTGTTTTCAAGAAAGCCCCTTGTGCAAGAAATAGGTTCATGCAAATATATTTCTTCCTAATATTTAATATTTCATATCTTGGTTTTAGAAAATGTTAAAAATTATTGCACTCCCCCCAAGACAAAAAAGAAATGCACTTCATGTATGTTATGAAGCAGCTTTTCCGAGTTGGAGATACTTTTCACAAACTTACCAAACTATGTTCTTGTAGTACATTTATTTATTTATTGACATGTGTGGTATACTTTGGTGCAATATATAAGGAAAACCCTGCAGTCGAATTATGAGTTGTGACATGCCTTTAGCAATATTCTATGGTTTTGTCACGAGCCTTTAGAATTGTATTTTATCTAAGCACTTGATGATATGCTAAAAGATATATTTCAAGCTAAAACATTATATAAATGACTCTTTAGCTGCATTGGCAATGGACAATTACAACCTTTTTTCCTTGCTGCTAAGAAATCATTTTCATGATCATTACCTTTTGGTGATATGGATGGTCAACATGATACAAGTTTCATGAGTATAATGACCACTTTTGGTTACACATTGTTGACATATTGGGCGTCTGATTGGATTTTATTGTTTTCTAGAATACCTCCTGGCTACAATCTTTGATCAGCACGATAATTGGAAATTTGAAGCTTATCATCTCAAACATACATATCAGATATGAAGATGTAGAGGGGTAAGTAAGGATCATGCACTAAATTTTATGTGTCAATTGATAGTTTTCACCACTTATGATGCATGCTTTGGTGCGTTGCAGCAATCGTGGCCATCCATTTGCAGCATGTATAACATTAGAGAAACTCTCAGCGAGGATATTTGATGACACGGGGAAGGAGACATTTATCACTGGAGGTGCATTAGAGCGGATACAGAAGGTATGAATCGATTACGACTTGATTTTTTATTACATTGATAAGCCATGCTCAACAAATATGCATTGTCTTGCTCTCTTTCTCATTCGGTCCTCTTCACACAGATATTTCATCCAAACTCTTTCAATTCTGATTTGATAAGAGTTCTTGTTAAGCCATGCCTTCCAAGATTGTTTACCACTAAATTAGTCTATCTCCCCTCATGCACCATAGATATATGTGCGGACGTAGTGAAAAGAAATTTTTACTATGATCTAGTACTCTCAATATGTTATCCTCAATTTGTTTGAGGTTGATTCACCATATTTATCTACAAAAAATAGTGTGGGGTCAAATAGATAACACTTTAAGATGAAAACAAAGTAATCCAGAACTAATCCGGAATTTAAAACCGCAACCGGAACTGGAGGAAACGGAAATCGGATCGAAGCCGACCCTACCTGGTAGCGGTACCAACTCTCCTAAAATGGGTACCGGAATCAGACCAGCCCGGTACTGCGTCCACCCTACTTGTCATATTGCCTCGTTTCTCATGGGTTGGAGTCAAATTCCACACCCACACGGCAACCAAACACTGCAAAGTTGGACAAATAGCCAGAGATTTGAGTATGGCTGACGATGTGATTGAGACCCGTTTGGCTGTTCTTATTTATCGGACACATGAATTGAAAACCGGGCATCATGATAGTATTGTACACACACAAACATTAAGGATTCAGGTTTCACTTAGTGGTCTACCAAAAAGGGGTCTTAATTATGTACCTCCCCTTTCTCCTGTAAAGCACATAATTAGACATTTTCATTGTTGGCATTGTGAAATGACACATAATTTGGTATTATGTGTTGCCATTTAATATTGATTTTTGTCATTATGTTTATGCATTAATTGACATTATAAATTTTAAGTCATGTTTTGGTATAAAAATATTAAATGCCATATTTTGGTATACATAAAATACTCCCTCCGTCCTAGAAAACATTTCCGGATTTGACTTTTTGATATTTTAAATTCATACTCCCTAGTTAGAATTTTTTCTCTTACTTTAAATTCATATATTCTTTCCATCTAGTATCTTTTACTGAGGAAAATTTGTTTAGACGTGTGAGAAAGAAAATAGAATTTACTGAGGAAAATCCCCAATTAGGAATGATGAGTATATTAGGATATGACCCAACATACTCAGCCTAATTATTTCTTTATTATAACAAAGTTCAAGATGCTAAGCTCAATCCTCATTTATTTATGAGAGGGGTTGGAGACGGTTCTGAGAGGCCTTCTTGAATGGGGTTCATCCTTGAATAATGCCAAGAAAAATGCAAAGGGAAAAAGAAGAGGTTGAATGATGAATGAGGTAGGCTAGAGGCTGGTGGTTTGGTGACTAGCCCATGTTCTCATGGGGACACATCTAGTTTCTCTAATCCAACTTACTATATTAATTGTTTGCCATTTAGAGTTAAGCTAATCTGTTTATAATGCTAGAATCACAAACAAAATAGTCACAAAATCCATGCATTTATCATTTGTGAATTTAATTTTTTAATTTTTAACTATTTAAGATCATTCCCTTTTTCATAAGGTTCACAAATTGCAATATTGTGAATTTTATGACCTTTTTGTTTGTGACTTTAAAATTTCATTTTTATTTTCTTTCTTAAAGTTCTATCATACAAACTTTCTTTGTCCCCGAAATACAACTTTCATACCCACAATTTCTATTTAAAAAAACCCAAAGTTTGACTGTCTTGTTTTTTTTATTTTCATTTTTCACATTTTATTTTTTATTATTTTTATGTAATTTTTAAATATATAATTTTTTTAATCTAAAACAAATATTCAATAAATTGAATCAAAATTAAATTTAGTCAATAACTAAAACCTGCCAAAGGAAAGTCTTTATATGACAAGAGAGTATTGCTTTCATTTGATATTATTTTTCATCTTTAATTTCGAGTAGAGGTAATGTTTGCGTGCACATGTTCTATCAAATTTCAAGACCCCAATTTTGTGGGACTATATTAAGGGCTCGTTTGGTGAGTTTTAGAAATTCAATAAGATATGAGTTATGAAATCTGAAGAAATGATATGAGTTTTGAAACTTGAAATGAAGTTATTTGGAGAAATTTAAAATCATGATTTAATTAGCAATAAGTAGGGTGACAGGAAACGAGCCGAGGGTGGTTGGTGGTGACAGTGGTAGTCGGTGATGGAAAATGATCCAACGGTTGAGAGATATATCAAACCCTCATATTGATATCTCCCAAATTTGGATGATATCGAGAAAAGTGATATATAGATGTTAGATAATAATAACACTTTAATAATTAATTATAATGTAATTTTAAATTAATATTGGGGATTTTATAAAATTTAAATTTTTTTAAAAAATACATATTTTTATGATTATTATTATTACTCCTACGAGTATCATCATTATTAAAAGAGTTTTATAAGTCATCTAAGTGCGGAGTATTTGTTTTAAAGAGACGTTCATGTAACATTGTGTTTATTTATGTATTTAAATTCTAATTCTAAAAGCTTATAAGTGTTTTAAAATTAAAATTACAACATAGATAATTATTTAAAAAATAAATGCTAGTTTGGAAAAATCAAACAGTAGATAAAAATTAAGTTTATTACACCAAAACCCCTGTGGCTTGGTAAATATGCTTCGTTGCCCCTTTTGGTTTCAAAATTTACACCGTTGCTCCTTATGGTTTTGATATTGTTACATTAATGCTCCTATAGACTCAAATATCTTTCAAGTATTATGTGAATAGCTTCTCTGGTCTCTATGATTTTGAAAATTGACACAAACGATCCCTCTTTTCTTTACTGTTTTTTTCTACTATTTTTTCATAATTTTTTTAATTCATTTTTAAAAATTATTTTTTGTGATGTATTAATAATCAAATTTTTGTGTGTTTGTAATAAAAACCAATTAAAGAAAAAAATCACGTACATTGTATTTGTCTCAAATTAAACATTTTCATTTTTTTTTATCCAAAAGATATTTTTATTGATTCATTTTCATGATACGCAAATCAATGAAATATTCTCTTTTTTCCACTAAAGCTCATTTCTCATTTTTATTCATTAGTTTTATAACGTTTCTTTTATTGCAATCAAAATTAAATTAAAAGAAAAAAATAGAATAGAAAATATAGAAAGGGAAAAATATATGAAAAATACTTGTATAGAATGTAAAATTTAAGCCAGGAAGGAAATTACTTGTGCAACGGTCAAAAAAATGTTACTAATATATACTCCGTAATTAACTACTGTATTATTGAAAAAAGATCCTCAAAAAATTATACTTGGGGTTTATAAAAAGACGTTACTCAATATTCTTTTATTCAATTGTTCGTGACATATTCAAAAAGATAAAAACATTTTTAGACAAAAAAAATTAATTAGAAAAATGAAGTATATGTTAAATTTTTTATTTCAAACATAAACAACTTTTTTTTTTAAATTTGTGAAAAATGTAGGTTTGAAAAAATAAGTTTTCACTATTTCATGCACAAATACTTTTCTTCTCTTTATAAAAAAAGAAAAGAAAAAAGGAAAACAGTAAAAGGAAAAGGAGAGGGTGCGTCAAAGCTTATTTCCAAAACCATAGGGATAACAGAGTTATTCACTTAGTATTTGAAGAATATTTTTGTCCACAAGGATATTTGCGTAGGAATATTAAAATCACGAATAGCAACGATGTAAGTTTTGAAATGATAGAAGTAACGATATACATTTACCAAACAGAGTAGTGTTGGTGTAATAAACTCACATAAACATTACAAAAAATTGTTGCCGAGTACCCTTGGTTTTGTGATAAGAACTCACAGGTCCCATTTTTTTTAAAAATATACTACGGGGTACTTTTAATTGTCTGAAAACTAACTCCAGGGGAGACATTCCGTCCATTCCTTTGTCAAATTTATTTTCTTCGTTATCTTTTCATCATCTTTTTCCTAAAAATTGTTATTAGATACCCTCAATTTTGTAAAAATAACTTTCAAGTACCATACTTTTTAAAAATATACTCCGGGGTATTCTAAAATCTCCAAAAACTTACTCCGAGGGATTTTCCTTCTTTTCATTTTACTATTATTATCTAATAATAATAATAATAATAATAATAATAATAATAATAATAATAATAATAATAATAAGGAAATAAAGGAAAATCTCCTAAAGTAAATTTTTGAATATGTTAGGGTAACTCGGGATTTATTTTTAAAAATGATGGGATCTAAAAGTTATTATTATAAAATTGGGGGTACTTAACAGTAATTTTTGGGAAGAAGATGATGAAAAGATAACAAAGGATATGAATTTGAGGGAGGAATGGACGGAAAAGAATACTCGGTAATAAAAAAAGTGAATGACGGTTTCACCGCCCTGCCGATCGTCAAGTCGGAAAACAAAACTTCATGCGTATTAGAAAGCGAAATGAAAAATGTTTTCCTGATTCTACGAATTTCCAATAGAAATTTCCATAGAATACTTGAGAAACACTTTATCTTCTCACAGTGTGTATAATCTCGAGCGTACATGTATAGGGATTGGAATTGATGTATATATTCGGCGGTTACTGAAGGAAGGAGAAAGAGGAGTGATCGATAGTAGCTTGCGAAGATGCTGGAAGATCAAGTGGCGTATTTGTTGCAGCGGTATTTGGGCAACTATGTTTCAGGACTCAACAAAGAAGCTCTGAAGATCAGTGTCTGGCAAGGTACTCGTGGCTTTGTTAATTGCTTCTTTGTATTTCCTGGTTGATGTTGATCTGTTTGCCAGTTGAAAATAATGGTGTAATTATTGTGATTTCAGATTTTTCATTTTGTTTTTCAAAGCTGTATAATCTGTATTTTGCATGCAGTTCGATGTTTGATTGCATTTGTGTATGCAATATGGATGAATTCAGTTGTCTCAGTTTTTTGTTAATTGTATGCATCTTGTGTGGTTTTGCCGTTTCAGCTTTGAAATTTATCATTACATGGTGTATTATAAGATAAATTGCAACCACAGGATAAATAGTGCTTACATATTTCATAAATAAATGTGATTTCATAATAAATTTTCAGTATAGCTTGTAAAATTTGGAGATTTCCAATTACTTTATCTCTGTAGCTGTACTTGCATAGATGTTGTTCCATGATTTAAAAATATACCCCGTATGATAAGAAGATAGAAATTCCAGTGATAGAACCCAACTATCTAACAAGTGGGATAAAGCTTTGTTGTTGATAGAACCCAAGTTGCCAATCCTATTGCATTGGTTTTCTTTCTCACACAAAACGAATTTCATCTATGGAGCACCCACAGTTGTAAACAGTTAATTGCATGACTTGACGCCATACATAACCTTATTAACTATGCCTGCACAATGCATCTTTAGCCGAATGATGTCTACAAATTTTAATGGACTATTTATGGTAGTGATGTTTTCACACTCCCATTTTTACTCTCAGTGGATCTTTGCTGTCAATGAAGTGCAACATGATAGTAATGCCGTTCTTTTTAATCGATTTGCATCATAACTCTTCTTTTGTTAGTACTATAATCTGCGGGCAAATATCTTTTTCCACTGCTGCAATGCATATGCTATTGGTTCTGGTATTTTTGTCGAGTTGATATATACATTGTTCTTAACATTTAACAGGTGATGTAGAACTTACCAACATGCAATTGAAACCAGAGGCACTCAATGCATTGAAGTTGCCCGTGAAGGTT